AAGCTCTCTACTGGTCTCTTCGCCGGAAAGAGAGACTCATGGCGGTTACTTGTATCTGTGTATTTTCCTGTGAAATAAAAATGAGGAATTATACGACAAAGGAGAGGGAAATGGAAATATATATGCAATTTAATAACTGAGAGTCTTTTTATTCCAATTAAAAAATCCAAAAACTAATAATTCAAATGAAGACTTGGTCAAAGTCAGAATAAGGCAAGTTATCAATTAGAAGTATTGGGCCTATTATGAATATTAGGCCCATTTAGATCCAACCGCCTCATCTTATATTCCTTTCCTTATTTTACTTCTTCTCTCTCTAGTCTCATTGATTTATCAGTCGCAAATCGGGAGACCGAGAACGGTGTCGTCGATCTTTTTACCGGCGTAATTTCACCGGCGAAGTTCTGTGAGGTTTATTAAGGTAATATCAAATTCTTCCTTGTATTATATCCTTACTTTCCTTTGTTTTTTCGTGAGTGTCCCACCGGATTTTCTCTCCATTTTTTTATATAAGGATTTGTAGATTCAGAGTTTGTTTTTTTAGCTTCAGTTCAAGCATCAAGTTTTCGAACTCTTGATTTTGCTTTCTGGAATATCTGTTTAACGATTTTCATCATGCTTCCGTACATTACTGTGAATGGAATTGCTGTTCAGGTAGATAAGCTAGGGTTTCTTCAATGTGTAGGCACTGCTTAATTTGATTTTGGAATCGAATTTCTCCATGAATTACGCGAAGAATTCGGGTGATCGAGATGTCTGTCAATTGCTAATATTAAGATCGATTTGAATCAGTAAGAACTTAGCTCGTAAGTTTTCAGGCAATGGCCTTAATATTAAAGTTGTGGATTATCTGGCATTGTGCAGGCAACATTTAGTGGACGAATTTCAAGTGTGTCATTGTGTGTTTACATAATCTTATGTAACAATGTCGGATTCTAGTGAACCTAAAACATCTGAGCAAGAAGAAACTCAACCTACTGGGCAAGAATCTCAGCCTCAACAAGGTACATGTGCTTTACTTCTCTCTCAGTTATGGTAAATCTATGTTGACTGATTGAGATTTTGGACTTCTTTGGTTTTTGTTGTTAGCTAAAATTTCATTTGGGAAACAGGAGACTAATATCATTGTTCTGTTTTTTCAGTCTGCACTTTCTTCAAGAAGCCAACTAAAGCTAAAAACATAAGGAAAAGAACGGCTGACGCGGATGAAGAAGACGGAGATTCGAAAAGCGAAAGCTCTATATTGAACAACCTAAAGAAAGTTGCTAAACCCGATAGCAAGTTATACTTTTCCTCTGGACCATCTAAGAGCTCTACTACGACGAGTGAAGCTCCAGAGAAACCTGTCTTTCACTACGATTCATCCAAGGAAATCCAGGTTCAGAACGACAGTAGAGCGACTGCTACGCTAGAAACCGAAACTGACTTCAATCAAGATGCACGAGCTATCCGTGAAAGAGTCCTTAAAAAAGCAGACGAAGCGTTGAAAGGGGATAAGAAAAAGGCTTCAGACGAGAAGCTGTACACCGGAATTCATGGATACACAGATCACAAAGCTGGGTTTAGAAGAGAACAGACAATATCGAGCGAAAAAGCTGGAGGCTCACATGGGCCATTAAGAGCGTCTGCTCATATCAGAGTATCGGCTAGATTCGATTACCAGCCAGATATTTGCAAGGATTACAAAGAAACCGGATACTGTGGATACGGAGATTCATGTAAGTTCTTGCACGACCGTGGAGATTACAAACCGGGATGGCAAATAGAGAAAGAATGGGAAGAAGCAGAGAAAGTCAGGAAGAGAAATAAAGCTATGGGAGTTATAGATGAAGATGACGATGAAGCTAACAACAGTAGCGACGAAGACGAAAATGCGTTGCCTTTTGCTTGTTTCATTTGCAGAGAGCCTTTCGTCGACCCAGTCGTCACCAAATGCAAACATTACTTCTGCGAGCATTGTGCTTTAAAGGT